TCCCTTTTTCCCTACCCTTGCAATTTGAGCTACCTTTGGAATGTTAATAAGATCTAAAATGAATATTTGTTTCACGAACCTTGCAGTCGGGTACCTGTTTGTTAAACCTATGATATATACATTTGTACTAGGTTAAATAAAGTAGCAATGAGAAACGACGAATTTGACTGAATGCAGACGTTCATCACTTCGACAATCAACATGAATGTACGTTTTTGTATTCAACCAAGCAATTTCTCTTAGGTTGTGTTTTATTGGCCTATTTGCTATCGAAATATGAAACATTCGTGTTTTTTCATTGTCTGTAACTAGAAAACATTTAAGAATAACCAACAGAAATGTTTATCAGCAAGAAGAAATTTAGGATTCTGGTTACTTGGTGACCACTGAAGGAGGACACAAATCACGCACCTAAGGCCACACTGAGACCCTAATATCTAATTTGTAAAAGTTCAACAAGAAAGTTTTTGACGGATCATTCAGTTTCTCCTTCAATTCTGGTGCTAGAAATCAGAAGTTAGCTTCAAGGCGAGTAGCACATTGTAAGTTGAATTGTACGTTCAAATTGTGCCTTCAATCTGATTAGTGAAGAAAAAGAGAGGGCTAGTGCCTTTAAAGGCTTGTATTTTACTTCGCCTTGGCTCTTTGCTTGTGAAAATGCGTTAATAAATGCGCGATTGTTATGTGCGTATGTCCATTAAATTGACTAATGCAGTAGAACAAGTGAGAAGTTAAATGAACTTCAAATGATCGAATTTGGAAAGTTTGCTCATGCCTTGTGGGAATTGTTGTACACTTAACTGAACACGTCTCGCGTATGCGTATCAACAACAGCAAAGGCAATGCTGGCGGTGCATTGTGAACCTCCATGTACTTAGCACCACAAACTGGATGACTTTGGAAATCCAGTGAATAAACCGATTTCAGCTCCCAAACACATTGATTTTCTGGCATATATGATAACGGTTATGTCCTTAATTGCATATATCTTCTTCTACTAGTACATCCCTCACATTAAAGAAAGCAATGTGCCTAGCGAATTCTAAACCAGAAACTGCCATCTTGGCATGAGTTAAGACTAACAAAACATCAGATTTGATATTAATCGGTCATTTGATCACCAGGCATTACTACTGTGTGAGATTATCGCTCCTGTGAGTTTTGACGAATGGAAGTAAATTCTTATGAGATCACCTGTAGGTGGTAAAATAAGATGAACATTGTAACAAGAGAAATAGAATTTGGGGGTTATGTTATTCGGTTATCTGATAACTGTCTGTCTCTAATTGTTCTTGCAAGTGTGATATTACGATCTTCGTAACAGGTCGTCCCCCTGACAAAAGGAATCTGCCGTTCACTATTGTAAGTCCATTGATTTGACGATACACTCGTCTCCTCTATCAAGATCATTCAAAAGTCGATCATAATTACTTGAAACTTAGCTATTTATTTTGTGACGATGGAGGGTGCGCTGTAGCTTCGGAATCTTGCGTGTTTTCTTCATACAAAGAAGAGCCTACTGGGGCGTCGATGTGATGTGTTGCAAATGATCAGTTTTATTAATAGTTGGTTTCATGTCTTTATGTCTGGGAAAGGTGGCTTAGACCGGTCGATGGACATGGTGTCCACTTTTCCTTTACGGCTGGTGTGGCTTGTAAACTGATGTCTGGGGAACCTCTCACCATAGGACAAACGGCGGTGAGGTTGAGTAGGTTGTTAACGCAGTCTTGACTCGGAAGTTTAACGAGAATACTGAAGTGGTTGAAAAAATTGGCCCCTATTACTGGGTGGACGGCTGTTGTGATTGCAAAAACCTCACAATTCCAGGTCAAGTGCCATTGATTTCTGCCCATAGGTAGGATTGGCTAAATTATCTACTACTGAACTGCTGAAGAATCTGGATGACGAAAGGTAATGTTGTTGGCTGGGCGAAGCATAAATAGAATACGTCGTGGAGTGTCATAAAATCGTCACTGGAGTGGAACATCCCTGTTTTCCAAACATCTCGTTTGTGGCTAGAGCAGCACAGATTCACAAAACTCACATTGATGAGTCGCATTTCCCATATTTTGGTGATACCAGCGCACGTTCCGAGGCGCAGGTGTGAAAGGGATCATGGACGTGAAAATGAGCGCTGCCGGGCAAGTGAATGGACGGATCTCAACGAAGCAACAACCACCCGATCGGGTCCCATTTTAACTTCAGATGCATAAATTGGGTTAGCCGCTTCCAGTACGTGGCCTCCCACAACTGTGAAGTGGGTGAGAATAGAAGATTCAGCCATGTGAATTTTGATGAGTAATGTCTGGAGGTCGCTTTGGATAAATACTCATCCCAAAAGGCATCTCGTAAGAACTCACCACTTGCAAAATAACGCATCTTGTTCCAAATATGTGACGCTTCAAGGTCTACACCTTGACTTTTTCACTTCGATACGTTTTAAAGTCATGAATTTCAAAAGGTCGAAATTTGCGTCGTCGTATAGACTGAAATGGCGAAATGGGATGAGTTTCAGTCTTTGTTCAAACACGTCAACACACCCGCGGATTGAGTCTTTGCGACAAACTCACATGAAGCGATCGCCTCACACCACTCGCGTTTTCTTCCGACACATCTGAACAGTGATCACGCGAATACAGCCCTACCCCCGCCAGCCCTGCTCACTCTTGAGTTCAACGGGGCACTGGCTCATCAACCCTGCAATTTACCTCTAAGGTGCTTCCATCCAACCTTGCGAAATCCGGAACTCATAAGTTCATATAAGTAGACACAATTTCCTGAAGGCTGTTTTACAATGCCATTCTACTGGGTTATTGATGTACATTAAGTCAACAATCACCGACTCGACTTACTAATTAAAATATGGTAATTAGGGCACTCAGGGAAATGCTACCCCGTAAAGGAACAGATAAATACCGTTGGTCTTCTTATTGCTGTTACGTAGAAAGCACTGTACAAATCGACTATGAATCGGAATAGCGTGGACACTAGAGGGTAGAGGGGATTAAAACAACAAAGGGTGGAGTGGACAAGATAAGCTCCACACGAAACCACTCAGTGGAGATCCAATACACTGATATGAACTAGAAGGACTTGAGCTTCTTTCCTGGAGCGTTGATCGCGACAGAGACAAAACTGACAACTGCGTCCAAGTGCTAAAGACAAAAAACAAACAATTGCGCGGTTACAACTAAACCGAAGTCTGTTAATGTTCAACAAGCATCACGGGTTCATGCTAAGATCAAGCTAAACGACCACCAGATCATGAAAGCTACCACACAAACAACATTTTCCCTCAATCCTAAGCGCAGTAAAACTCCATGAAAAGGATGAACAAGAATACAATATTGTGGTAGATTTAGAAGTCCAACTTTAGAGTGTTAGTAAAAAAAAAATACTCAAAAAGTGTTTGCACACGATTCTGTCACTGTGGCGCTTTTTGTTTGGTCCACACGCAAGGGCATGCTTCTCTTGTTTGTGAGAATTGAAAATGGACTTCCTACTTATCCTAAATTCCAATGCCAACTGGAGGCCGATTAATAAACGTCTTGGGTGCTTAGCTAAGCACTTACGTGCACCGGTGATGACTTCGGCTCCAATAGCAGATTTATATTGGTTTTAGTTACCATAGAACTTTTAATTAGATCTTATGAAATCACTGTATTTCAGGGAATTTGTTGTGCAAGTACGCTTAAACAACAAGGCTACCAACTAAAAAGACCGACAAGAACACAAATGATTCGACTGATGCGGTAAACACTCAATCAACATAAAGGTACAATTGACGTCAAATTGATGATAAGCCAACCACAAAGGATTTAGCAAGTCACCTGTGGTTAAATTAGGCGTTCAGGAAATGCTAGTTCGACGACTTAAGCAAACGTAATGAATGATGGTCCTTACATAAGCGATTTCGCTAATAGTAACAAGTCTTGTGGTGAAATTCAAGTATCCCGATAACACCAGTCTTAAAAGTATACTTCGCAAATAATAAGACGCAACTTTACATTATGCGGACTAAGTTTAACCAAATCTTGAAAATACCAAAAAGTAAGTTTCAAACTGCAGAGAACATACCTCGAGAAGAAAGTATAGACTGTAGAGGTAAGTTCCAACAAAGCAAGCCACAACAAGATCAAATACCGAGGACTTCAGACTGAAATAGGCAAGAAAATATTTCAAAATTTATTGACCGTCGGTTCACCCTGAAGAAGCGCTATTTGCTTTACTAGAAAAGTCTCGCATACACCGGAAAACACTTGATATGAGCAGGACTGGAGTATGTTCAGAGGAAAAGTACGTCGGTAAGTTGTTTTTTTTACAGCTGAAGTTCACTTGCAGGCGCGTTTTAATGGGTAGTCGTAAGTGGTATACGAAAACCAAAGGTATTCATTACTTGAAAACGACGTTTAGGCTCATCTGGATCATGCATTCAGACACATTTCGATGTTTACTTAAACCTCCTAGGAATATCCAGTCTACTAAACGGAAGAAATAGAAACGAAATGGTAAAATTTATATCAAGATTAATTGCTATTCCACAATATTGAGCCAATGAGTAAACACACATTTACAATTGTACAACGACGCCGAGTGACTGCAACTATGCAACATGAATTTTTTTAATGGTAAACCGCTCGGTGTTATATTCAGATTTGCGTAAGTGGTCAGGCCAAAAATTAATTTAATAGCCACTGTATACCACAGACCGCTTCTTGACACCTCACCGGCTTGGATGCCTTGGAACACTCAAGAGAGAAAGCATACAAAGCATGAGCTATTTTATCAATTGCGATTTCATGAGTATCAAGCTACGTATCCTAAAGAATAAATTGAATCGGAACTTCATTCGAAAGAATGACGCATATTTCGTGTCCAAAGGAACACCTAACACTTCAGTAATTGATAATACGAGAAAGTTCTGAAAAGAACGGGATTTGCTGAATAAAACCTCTCAAAATGTCAAGTTTTACGTGACGGCATAAGACACACACTAACACTCACCGGTAAATTGTGATTTTCTGGGGTGACACAGCAGCATAGAAGGTAATTTCTGGATCCTTTCCAGCTGCCGACATGCTAGGCATGGAGCCAACAGGAACTCCAGCACCGGGCCCGGTCTCCTCTTGAACCTGTTTTCCAGCACTTTTGCCGTTTGTTCCGGTGGCAGTTTGCTGCTTCTTTGAGAAGTGGTGACGGGTGAGACGCACCTCAGCGAGGTAAGAGCGCATGTACAGCTCGAGGGATTGAATGAGCCCGGTGCCGCCAGGAGTTGCTTGATTAGGGCGGGGCGGAGGAGCCGTGAGGAGCTGCGGGCTGCGGGGGCGCATGGTGAGGAAGTCCAAGAGAGCCCCAGCCGACGTCGCCGTTGACCACTGGTGGGTAGGACAAAATAACTGCCCTTATGACATACTGACAACGCGACACGACTTCATGTGGTATTTTAAAAAGAACGGTCAGTGACAAACGCCAGCATACATTAGCAGTAATGGTCTGAAGTGGTGGTAAAAACAAGCCAATCAACAAAGATGGAATCATTGCGCGCAAACCAGTCGCCTTTTGAGTTTTAAAATTAAAAAACAGATGCAAAGTGTACGAGCATCCAACAAAAATACAAGATTATGTGAACTGTGGTTCACCCAGATTCACATAACTGTAAGTTCATGCCATGACTAATTGGACAAATTTGCGAGCTAGTACACTTATTCTGATCAGTTATTGTTCAATTTCCTATTTTGATTCGTATGTACTGCCTCTGGCATGCAATCTGGGGGGAAATTACAAAAGTCGGTGAACGGACAGATGTGGTTGCTATCGGCTTTCTTCTCCATATTTTTGGATGACATGGGTTATTAGCCAGTGGGGTGGTGTAGTAGATTTGAAAACAGCTTTGGGTGGTCGAGCCGTATTTAATTTTTTATAAAAGTTATAATGAGAGGAGACGAAAAAGGACACAAATTTTATATACTACTCACCGAGGAGTCAATAAAAGGGAATTCCTCGGCGACTGGCATCGTAGAACTAGTATCATAAAGAACGCGCACCAGGGCCTCCGCCAGCACCCTGGCATTCCTAGCAACGATCTCTGGTTGTACAGATCCCCAATAACCGCGCGACGGGCTCGCACGGCCATTGAGTGGGCCTCCATCGAGAAGAGAATTACGGAATTTGTAGCTCACAGGACTGGACCAGCCCGACAACGTGGCAGTGGGCAGGCGGTGAAGAGCGAAGCGTTCATGCTCCCACGCCAAGTCATAATGATTAAGGTTAATTTTCTTGTGAACGACCTCGACTGTAGGAGTGATGGTAGTGCTCGTGGTACAATTTGTGAGGGGATGCAACATAGCTGCTACCTCCAACGCAGAGAGAAGGCGGTGAATAAACGTGCCCTCTTTGGGAATGCGCGAAACATGGAGACGGAGAAGATTGTCTTCAACTGTGCCAAGGCCTTCTAAGCTTAGTACTTGAACAACTGAATCCAAAAGTGCTAAATGGGAGAAAGCGTCAATTTTCTTGTGCGGAAATAATTCATGCCAATTAGCAAAACAATTATCCGGTTTTAATTACGGTCAAATTTGACTGTATGCGACATATTCAATTCTAAAGCGAAACGTGCAACAGCTCCTGAAAAGAATCTGACAAGTCTAATGGAACCGCCAGGTGTTTTAACAGGCACCATCTGACTGACAATAGTAGATGGCACATACAAGTCTACAAATGTCCTCACAAAATTATTCAACTTCGTATGTAGAACACTCAACAATAAAGGTAGTAAATTGCTTTCTTCATAATGCTAGGCAAATTTGGATACTATTAATGTCAGAAATTTTTTACCTATTCCGGCAGTGTCTTCGGATATCATCTCCAGCCATCGCTTAGAACCGAGAAAATTAAGTTTTCCACCGCCTGTGAGGAGGAATAAGACATTGAATCTAAAAGAGTACAAACAATGTAGCTACAGGCGACAGATATAGAACAAGGGGAAGAGCACCATAGCTCACTTTGGCACATTTTTTGAGTCTGTCAACTGGGACAGTATTCGTGCAACTTCCAACAAAACAGCAACACCAGCTGCATTTGCATTAGCTCCGTAAGCAAGAGACTGAAACAAAAAAAGGTTGAAAATCCAATAAAATTTGCAGGCACTAATTATTTATCTAGTTTACCGGAATAGCACCACCAGCATCATAGTAGGCAGACAATATGACTGTCGGTTTTTTGGAGTCATATCCGTCTGCGATTAGCTTGCCTTCAATGTTTATCAAATCCATGTTATTCAAAGCGATGGGTTTTGGAGCATTGGCATACGCACGGTAACCAGTAGAAAAAACAGAATCAAGTAGACCTAAATCATGTCAATTAAGGGTAAAAACATACTAGGGCCTCCAGCCAAGTCAGTCTTATGTGAGAGTTCCTTTAATTCCAAAAACACGGGTTCCAGATCGGCACTTTCTGTGGTGAAATACACCGCAACCTCCAGGTTATCTAGCAAAAGCTCTGACTCTAGACTGAGCCAGTGCTACCATGTAATAAAGCCAAAAAGTGGTTCATACTGCTAATAGGTCGTCACTCCAACCCCCCGTCGGAAGTATAATAATTATACCACCAGCATTATTGCTTATTGCTGCACGTAAGGTCTCCTTAGTAACTTCGATCAACTTCATAAGTAAACATCGCCTGGCATATGTCCCCGTGCTTAAAGTTTGTATATCACACGAGAGCGACGACATCCTACTACCTACAGAAATCACAACATGAAACGACGACTACCAATTTCGGAATCGAAAGCATCATATTGAGTTAGCCTGTAAGCCGTGAAGTCCTGAGCCGCCTTCGTTGGATCAATAGGCGAAATAAAAATTAGGAGAGAGAGCAGTAGAAGCATATAATGTGGGACAAAATTAATTGCACTCTGAAGAGCGGCGCACCCATCAGCGAACCACATGTTTGTGATAGAAGTGAAGGCTCCCTACCAACAAGCAAAAATTAGCCCAAATCGTTTTGGGGGACGTAAAGTAAACGAATTTTTTAGATAAAGAGATTATTAATAAAATGACAAAAAACTTAATAAAAACGTGGATAACTAAAGTGAATTGTCAAAATGCTCACTGTTTGCCCTAATTTTTTAGACTCTGCATCTCTCCTAGTTCCCAAATATGCATATTTAGTTCATTTGTTCAGTTGCATTTTTGCGTTTCTTTTGTGCTTACAAAAAGGCATAACTTATTTAGATGTGGTTCTATATATTTTTCATTAGTCAAAATCAATTATACTAATTTGTTTTCGAGACCTTAATATATTTGATATTTTTATTCGAGTATTTACGTTTAACCAGTTTACATATATTTAGCTGGATTCTGACGGTCTACGTTCGTGAGCTAATCATCCGCTCATAGATATATTTTGTTCATAGTACGAAAAATTACTATCCATACGTATCTGTACGTGCGCAAGACCACACGAAGGTCTGAACACAAGTGTTCAACATGTGTATGGTCACTCAGAAACACCTCTTTATTGCTTTTATGAGTTTTTTTAATTGCCACATTAGACCTTAGACATGTGACACAAGTTTTACAGTTACTGTAACGGTGATGTGTTGCTAACTTGCATTTATTTATGCACAATCTCGAATTAATTCACGTGAGAAAGTTATTCCGTGTTAATTATATTATAAGCTGATTTCTAGTGAAAAACATAGATCAGCTAATGAATATATCAGTCAAATGTTGTTATTTGCTCTCTATTTTTTTTTGCTGAAACAACGTCTACGTATACGCAGCTTATGAGGCTTTCAAATGAGTAAGTAATTAGAAAACCGGGTGTTAATATGGCATGGAAGATTACAATGTGGCGATCACCGAACGATAAATGGTAGCAAGTTTGAGAGAACACGAATTCAATAGATTTACATAAATGCTCTTTAAATAACAAAGATTGTTCAGAGAGCGATATGAAGCTTGCCTATATTTCCTGATCCCTTAGCGTGCTATGAGCACTTACCCTGAACAATCACGCTTTTGCTAGAACACTAAATAGGTAGAAACGCGGATTTTATACGGTCTTTTTTATCCTGGCCGGGGCCTGTCTATGCAGGCAGCTTTATTCTGGTGGAGTTTGAGGTACACATTGGAGGCTTTAGCAAAATCTTTAGTAGTTATCACAGGTTAACTTCATTGGCATTCTAGATGTGCCAATAATCAGAATGGAAATGTATCAATAATTAAATTTTTTGTGATTATTATTATTACCATTCCACAAAGCCCATTTTGCAGCTTATCATGGATTAGGCTAACCAATCTGCATCATTCAAATTAAATTAATCATGTTTTATGTTATTGTACTGGTGTTGGTGCAGTTCCACTTGCCTTAATTTTCCTAATGACATCACGTCGATTAAAAAGAGGAACTGGGTGCTTTCTTGAAATTAAATTCAATTATTCTGTATCAAAGCATGCAACACTGTTTAAATGCATCATAAACACGTTAGAAAGCAGACTGTTTTCCGGCAAATTTTGCTTATGATAACTCCAATATGACGACAGGGTTTGGACACTTACCTAATGCAACATAATTGCAGGTTGTTTCGATTTTAAAAGGCCAAGTTTCAACTACTATGATGTACATAAAACAGAGTACACCAACCTCATATTTTGGCATGCATAAACGCAACCAGTAGTGTGACATATATTGTGAACTAAGTTCAGGCAATCTTGAGCTAACGCCAGTAACAAGCGTGGGAGAACATGATTTAATTGACTTCCGTGAATGCGCCTTGGGTAACTATGTTCGCTCAGAGATCAGTGTTTAGCCGAACCTACATAAACCAACTTGCTCTCTTGTATATACACCTTGCTGCCGCTTTAATATTTTTGGTTGACCGACCCGCTATCTGCATTCTCTCTAATCCTTCATTCGGTTAGGCCGTGTCAACGCACATTGTCGGCCCTGGTGTGGTTTCCAAAACCACACCGGTGTCCGCTACACAATGATAAATTGTCTCGAATTGCTGGGATTGTTCTAACTAACAAAAAAGAATCAAACTAAAATTGCATTAATTAGAACTGAATCTAGAATCATAATTAATGAGTGAAAGATACTGCAGAACAAAAAATAGGAGAAAATTAATGGGAATGATTAGATAGAGATAAACTGACAAATCAAACAATTATTTCGTGATTTTGCAATCTAATGAACAGATTGTTAAAATAGGCAACAAAATGTAAATTCTGCTAAATTTGGTACAATATATCAGTTTTTGGGGTCAAACTAGACGAAAATTTGCGAGTCAGTTTTAAATTCACTTGTTCCATTTTGGTAATATATTTTTACAACCGAAACCTGATGTTAAATGAACCAACAGTTGAGAAATCAAGGTACAGTTTTGTGAAAGGAAATATGTTCTGAGTATTGAGCAAAATTTAGCTGACAGATCCCTGGCGAATTACCGAAATTTGCTCGACCTTCACGTGATTTCGTCATTTTGATGAATCAAGTTGCTTAAAGCACATTTATTTATTTGACATGTGCATTATGTTGCCAACCTGCCTTTCTCTGACTAAGTCCCTCACGTCGTAATAAACCTCATGTTCCTTTTTCGAGACTCGTGTTTCTGGGGTATTTTTTTCACATTGCAAATAGAAGGTTGTGTAAATATGTTGCCTTAAGTCAAAAAATTACAGCGAATTGGTTCTATACCACCATGAAATGCGCATTTGCTATTTCAGAAACTCATTTGGTCTCGAAGCATCTCAAGTTAAGGGTATTGCAAAGTAACAGTTAGAACTCTGGCTTGAGATTGTGTCCCAACCAAAATGAGCTCTAAACATCTAAAGTAAAAATTCATCATGTTTAATTTAATCTTTTTTTTCTAATTTCCTGCCCCTCTATTATTGAATTTTGAGTACAGCGTTGAGGCCTAAGGAATCGAGATTTCTGTCACAGACTTTTACCTAGATGAAAACAATGACTTCCACTATAAATATAGTTTGCGCACATTTATCCAGAGAACTATAACCTTAAAGACCCTTGATCCTCAAAGCTCTATGTGTTCTAGTTCTACGTCGACAAAAACCACACAGAATTTTATCATCACACTGAAATTCCACGCAGAAATTTGGCCCTTAACATTACTCAAATACGCACACCATTCCACTACTCTGTTGAACCACTTGACAGCGGAAAATTTCATTGGAGAGGAATTGTTTAGAATGGTAAGCCAGCGCCTCACCAAAAAGCAAATTCCGCTCAAAGACTTACATGTCGATCCAAAATTTTTACAGCAGTCCATATTTTCCTACGTTTTTTACTTACGTGATTTTCTAAATTATTGATTGCCCGTGTCCCTTATATAATTTTTCTAGACCTGCAATATGCTGTAGACGAATGCCATGATTTGTTTCTATCATAACACACTTTTTTATTATTTTCAACTGGTAATAAACTTCAGGACTTGCTCCTTATTTAAAATCTTTGGGACATACTTGAACTCGAAAGGTCGATGGATTTTTTAAGACATGTATTTTACAAGTAAGGCTTGTTTTTTTTGTAATTTTAGCCAATAATGCTAGTTTAAGTGTTTTGAATGAATTTACTATCCAGAGAAATTCATTTCACATGGCTTTGAAATGATGTGCTCGTTAGTAAACTGCAATGAAGACTTGGACCTAAAAGTATCATAATTGGGTAGACAGTGGGCCAGTGTCACTGATAGAGTAACGGCTGCTCAACCATGTCATGCCATGTAATTTTTGATGTCCAAAACACTACACTAAATAAAAGTGCCTAAAGGTAGAAACTTGCTATTAATTAGCCACAGAAATATTCAAACATCGTTTTTTTTGTCAGTATATGCACACCAGACTTCTGCAATATTTTTGATTTGTGCCGAAGTTTACACTAAAATTGACAAAAAGTAGTGCTATGCTCTATTGCCTGCTAAGTTATACCACGTAAGCCCATGTAAGCTTGTGGGCACCAAGTTTACTCTGACTTCAATTCCTCAGATTCCGTTAAGTTTCAAGAAGAAATTCATTGGCGTCAAGTAAATAATTTATTACTTTCGAGAATAAGTAAGCCAAGTGTATAATAAGAAAGTATGTTTATGAACTTAAGTTGCTCTAAGGAGTTATTTCTTAGGCTTAGACATATTTGAGGCTCTTTTTATGTTCACGCGTGCTAACTGTAGGAAACTTAGAACTAAACAAGATCAATCAGTTGTGTGAACCACAAATTAACAAGCATGCCTTAATTGCCAGGGCAGTTGCCAGTAAGATCGTTATCGACCAGTTTTACAGCCACGCCTTTAAGCAATCATGGGCGACACACTTTCCAAGGCTTGGAGCGAAAATATTTAAGATATTGTCGAGAAATTCCAGGTGTCATCAGCTTGTCGAGATGCGACATTACCTTTTACTCAGATTAGTTTATTTTTCTTAAAGCTTGTATTATTTTGATGGCTCATCAAGTAACTAGTTAGCTTTCAAAAGCAGTTAAAACCCATTAATTTCAACTCGGGATGTCAAAATAATCGATACCCAAAGATGATTCGTAATTTGCCGTCCTTGTCGTGGTTTCTACAGTTAAATTAGTCCTACTTTCACCATTTTTATTTTTAAGAAATCAAAAATACACATAATTTCCAAAGTACACCTCTAGAGCCTACCAAAAAGGGATTCAATAATTTGCTCATTGGCAACTGTGATAAAGGAATAGGATAATTTCTCGAGTGGTTGGCGCTGAAGTCAGCTGATCGCCAGAATTCTCAACCCATAAAGGCCTTTCCGGTTATTACACTCCAGTCGACGCCTGAACAAGCAGATTCATGGAGTTCGAATTGATCTGGAAAAGAGGACAAAATTCGGCTCATGATATCAGCGGTTTTGGAAGGTCAGACCCCAGCTTCTCCAATTTGTTTTAGCGGAGCTGCAGAAGTACCTCTACACC